GACACACATATAGCATATACTGTATTGATGGCTAATGTTAGCTGGGAATGCAGCCATTTTATGTTTCGCATTTCAATTATAATTAAGCCATTTGCTTTTTAGGGGAAAGCTAGACACATGTTGAAGGAAAGATAGCTTCTGCTTCAGGGAGTACATTGGCCATTTCACCTCCTGTATACCTGCCAAGTACAAGAAAGTAGAATAAATGAAAAATAATGCTTGCATATACTGATATATACCAAATCTTCAAAGTTATCCTGCTCATCTTTTATGTAACAAGTAACAATGCAAATAAATACAGTTTGATGGACAAATATTTACAGACAGAGGATTTCTAAAAAATGTCCTTGACTCATGCTTGTATAACACAGACATTTTAACAATCCCATTTCAGCAGAATTTAAGTTGTTGTTATTTGAAAATTTACATCCTTTACAGTCCCTGTTCAAACTCCCTAGAGGGACTTCAAACAAATCTGGAAAATAAATGTGTCCGAAATCTGCTAAAGAAAGACTTTGCACTTCATATTGTTGAATGGTAAGACTTCGGAATTTGTGTCTCCATGTTGCCTCCTGAGAACATGAAAGATTGTGGCGTGCTCAGTTGGTGCTGAGGAATTCCCTTAGTGGATCCCATAATGTTCTGCAAGGTGTCTTTCAATACGAAGGGTGACTGAAAAGTTCTCAGCCTACCAATGAAAGGTTGTCGGGAGCTCAATTGTTCACGGCTATTTTTCAACATAGTCTCCTTTCAGTGCCACACACTTTTGCCACCGGTGCTGCAGGGCCATTATTCCTTCCTTGTAGAACATTTCATTTTGCATGCCAAAAAACTCCTTGACCACAGCCATGACATCATCATCTGATGGAAAGTGGGTTCCAGCTAGATGTTGCTTGAGCTTAGGGAACAGATGAAAGTCCGAGGGAACCAAATTTGGCTAGTAGGGAAGGTGTGGCATCTTGGATTCTGGCTTAAAGTGGTAAACCCATGCTCCGTCTATGGTCACAAAACGTTTGAGAAATTTCACAGAATCTGCCTCAAGGAGGGTCAGGTTTGCGGCAGACATGACGTGTCTGTCACGTTTGTTTTCAAAAGTCAACATTCTTGGGACCCACCGACTTAACACCTTGTGCATGTCCAGCACTACTGTTTTAAAATGTGTCCAACACATTCCTGGGATATGCCCACTTTCTCTGCGATGAAACGTTCTGTCACATGCCTGTCTGCAATTACGAGATCCTGGGTTGCTGTGATGTTTTCCTCCGTAAGGCAGTTGCTGGCCTTCCACTGCGAGGGGCATCTTTGACAGAGGGGTTTCCCCTCTTGAATTCCACCACCCACTTTTTAATAGTGGAATAGGAAGGGGCATCCTCCCCTAATATTTCCATCATGTCCTTGTGGATGTCCTGTCCACTCATTCCCTTTTTCAGCAGGTATTGGATAACAGCATGTTTGCTACTTTCTTCATCTTTCAGACAATGGTGACCTTCTGCGCTTCAGTCTTCAATAACTGTAACAAAGAAGAAGCTATTTGTGAGAAATTTGGTATGGAACCTTGCAAAGATATGTACTATGATTAGCAAAAATAAAATTGGGCTAAGACAAATGCTTCATGGGTAGGCCGTGAACTTTTCAGTCGCCCCTCGTACATTGCTGGTGCCCAGTATTAGATTAAGAGGTGAGTGGGGAGTATTTCGGTTAGCACTTCCACCTGACAGTACTGGGATCATTGGTTCAAATCCCAACCACAGCACTATCTGCCTGGAGTTTGCATGTTCTCCCTATGCCTGTGTGGGTTTCCTCAAGGTACTCCGGTTTCCTCCAACATTTAAAGCCATACCGGTAGGTGAATTGGCTCCTGTCTAAATTGGCCCTAGTATGTACAGTGAAGGAAATAAGTATTTGATCCCCTGCTGATTTTGAATGTTTGCCCACTCACAAAGAAATGATCAGTCTAAAAATCAACTGGTAGGTGTATTGTAGCACTGAGAGATAGAATAGCAACAAAAACATCAAAAAGAAATGCATGTCTAACAAATTATGCACTGATTTTCATGTTCATGAGGGAAATAAGTATTTGATCCCCTTCACAAAACATGACTTAGTACTTGGTGGCAGTCCCTTGTTGGCAACCACAGAGGTCAGACGTTTCCTGTAGTTGGCCACCAGGTTTGCACACATCTCAGGAGGGATTTTGGTCCATTCCTCTTGGCAGATCCTCTCCAAGTCATTAAGGTTTGGTGGCCGACGTTTGACAACTCGAACTTTCAGCTCCCTCCACAGATTTTCAATCAGATTAAGGTCTGGAGACTGGCTAGGCCACTCCGGGACCTTAATGTGCTTCTTCCTTTGTTGCCTTGGCTGTGTGTTTTGGGTCATTGTCCATTCACGAAAATGTATTTATATGAATATTATTTAATATTTTAAAAAATTGCATGTGTTTGAGAAATGGGACAAAATGAAGATCATAATTATAAATAGGTGACACCTTGAAGACTGTTATGGCCCATCAATTCAGAGTTAAACTGAAATGAATGGCCCTACAATTATTCTTCTACCTTGTGGGATGTGTAATATGTAATTGGGGTTTATTTATGTATGTGCTTCCTGATCAGGTATGTGCTCGTGGCGGTAGATTTTTTTAATTGATATTTTTTTTTAAAACATTTTTTAAACATAATTATTTATTATTTTTTTCAATTTGCTACCAAGGGAGCTGATAAGGAGGCAGTGAAAGGGATAATTAATAAGCCCCTGGAAGATTATGGTGGCAGGGGGGGTATGGGCATTGAGGGATCAAAGATTGCTACTGAACTAGAAATCAGCAGCATAAGGGATACATCACACTGAACATAAGTACTGTCCGTTGTGCTTATTTTGAATTTTTTTGTCTGTAAACTTATATGCTAATGTACAGTATATCTAAAATATAAACATTTTAATAGATTAAAATGCTGTTTGTTGTCGGTATTTTCCTACCTTGCCTGGGGACAAAACAAGAAGTGAGTTATTCTCTCTCAATAGTATAGGTAAATCTCCTCTTAGGCTGTTGTCACCAGAATATCTGTCCTTTTTGGAAGGTTTCCCCTCAAGTCCATTTCGTTTGACAATTAAATTTTTTAAAAAAGGGAATGCTGCTGCGCATGGGATTAAAAACAACAAAACAAAAAAAAATAAACAAATATCTATATAGCAGCAGTCCTAATTGTGAACTCGTATACACAAAATCTTATATAATTTTTATATAGACCGCGCTTAGGTCGTGCAAACAATCAACCTAAACGTCATCAAACCTTGATGCGTTTCGATCAACAGACCGTCATCAGGAAGTGCACTTTTTTTTGTGAGTGGCATTTTTATTGTTTGACACCATTATTAAAGCTTATACGTTTTTACACTATGGGATGTCCGGTTTTGTTTTATTTTATGCTGAGAATTTGAATTACTGCCTGTGGAGGAGAGGAGCTTTCTAATATTGATGCAGCCCCAGTGGAGGATCACCGGTTACCATTAGCAACAACGGTTATGGGTGTGAAAGAACATTAGTCAACAATACCACATTGCATACTGGGATAGTCCCAAAAGCGCATTTGACCAACCTAGAGATAGGTGGTCATGGCATGACGGTGAGTGTAAATCCATGTGGGGCACCAGTGTGAGCACAGTGAAGCACTTGTCACTTCAGTATGGAAGTTCACCATTAAGGATAAAGCACCATTGCACTATATTCACATATTGGGACTGAATACCAATATCTGACACATCTGTCTATTGTTATCACAAATATTTGCATATTGTCATTAACGCCTTGGCGCCTTTAAGGGTTTCGGAAGGCGGGGCGGGCTTTAGGGTAATGTGACCACCATGACACGCCATCACGGCGGTCACATGATCTCCTTTCCATGAGTACCGGACATGTGTGCTGGGAGCGCGCAAGACGCACGCTCTCAGCACATATGTTCTTTTTTAATAGAAAGCAAATATGCGGCTGCTCGGTGTCTAGGCCCAGATGCCGTGAGGCCGCACATTTGCGTTCGGCCGGCTTGAAGAGGTTAAATTACATTTTTGATTTCCCATGACTTTCTATTCTGGTGACAATGGTCACCAAGACGGACAGGACTAAGAACACAGCTAAGGACAAAGACCTGCCTGCCTGTTCTATCCAAAACTAAGAATAACATTTTACAAATGCACTTTAAACTATAGATGATTGTCTGATTTCAGTTGGTTCAAGTAGACAACCAAAAGCCTTTTGGTCATTTAAGATTGGAGAAGTGATCTGCTTGCTGAATAATAGGGCTAAGTGTGGTGACCTGCATTAATCTGCAATGGTTTAACACAGGTCATTGCAAGGGTCCATCAAAAACAATTGATCGTTATGTGCCCCATTCATACCACAACGCAGCGGTGATTTGTAACATGCTGCGGACAAAGGCAGACCTGTTGCATTTTCCTGCAGCACATTGCACGACACCACCTGTTGTAAGGTTGCTCTGCGGTGTATAGTCTTGAATTAATTGTCACTTTGTGACACTTTAAGTAAAGTTGAAAAAGTGAACAGTGTGATGGGCTCATGCCTTTCTGTCTTTGGGCTTCCACTACTGCATGTCTTGCTCCATGCTGGGGTCTCTGCTTCTCTCTGGGTTTGGGAGCAGGGCTAAAGTCTGGGACACTGGATGCAGTCAATAGAAATTTTTATTTCTCCTCTCCCTGCCACCCTGTCCTATCACAGTGTTGGAGAGAGAAAAACTGTGGTGAGTCATCCTTTTAATGCCCAGGCTGTGCGACTTAAGGGGGCCACCAACTACAGGTACATGCAGGGGCGGACTGACAACTCATGGGGCCCCCAGGCAATAGGGGATCATGGGGCCCCTGTGTCCTTGCCCAAACTCAAAAAAGCCTATGAAAAAGGTACCAGGGGCATCTCATGGGGCCCCCTACTGACTCCGGGCCCTCGGGCAGTGCCTGAGTTTCCAAATGGTCAGTCCGCCCCTGGGTACATGTAGATGGCCTCTTCCACACTTGTTGGGAACCAATTGCCCTCTCTGCCCAAAATGTGCACCTACTTGTCCTCAAAAGAATGTCCTCGTCTTCCTGCACCGCAAATTTTATCTTTTTTTTTTTTGTTTCTTTTCAATACTTTAAAATGCTGAGGCATTAGAACCACTATCTGGTTTTTATACTGTAGCTGTATGTGTCCCCCTAGAGAAATTGATGCTCTCTTTCATTGTTGATCACTAATGTCTTGGAGAATAAAAGAGAGCGTTTTGTTGTAAGCCCCGCAGGATATACTATAGTGATTGATTTCACCCACTAGTCCATACATTATGGGGTTATTTTACTAAAACTGGAGTGTACAAAATCTAGTGCAGCTCTGCATAGAAACCATCAGCTTCCAGGTTTTATTGCCAAAGCTTAATTGAACAAGCTGAAGTTAGAAGCTGATTGGCTACCATCGACAGCTTTTTAGTTTTAGTAAATATACTCCTATGTGTCATAGATTAATAGCATGAAAATAAAATGTGGATAAATAAATACAGATCATCAGCAAGGAAAATAAATATTTAAAATGAGAATTAAATCCCCAGAGATTCAATGTTACGCAGAAACACAACAAGGAACATTCTATAGCTATTAACACGTACTAAAATAATTGGATGGATCTACGTCTGTGCAGAACACCAGCTCAGGATGTGACAGACAGTATGAGACGTGTACCCTGAGCCACACACTTCACTGTGACAGGTGACAAGACACATCTCACAAGTCAAGCGCCTGGCACTGCTCGAAGGGACGCATGGACAAAGCAGATCATTTATTAGTGTTGTTTCAAATGTACTGGACAGAAGAGAAATTGAATTTTCCTTGCTTACAACTGACTCCTCTCTTTCCAAATATCCATTAAATAGTCCTACTTTTACAAACTATTTTTTTCAAGTTCTTGTATGTGTGTTAGTTATAAAGCAACATGCCTTAATTGATATTATGTAATTGAAATGGCAGCAAGGAGAAAATCATTCTAGTTACATGTATGTGGTAGTTTTGTGATACATTATATATTTTAAATTAATAAATTATGTATAAAATGTATACTAATTTTATATAAAAAGAAAACGTCTGATAGAGTGGCATATTTGGGCTTGATCATAGTCTTAGGATCACATTCCATAAAAGCACAGGAGAATAAAAATGTAAACTCTGCCCACAACCAGCATTGAGCTTCTGTCTGTAATTTATCTAGTGAAGATTTAATTTAATGTAAAAATAAAAACTAGGTGCTGATATACACAGTTGCAATAGGTAGATAGAATTTCTTCATGGCACAATAGCCGAGGACAGTTTTAAAGCTCTCTCATGCATCCATCTTCTATTCTGGCTGTAGTCCCATGAGTGGAGGGATGCATGAATGCCAACAGTACATGTGGAATTCCAGATGGCTGAAATTAGTTTTCTCCTCATAGGCTTAAAGGATAAGTTCACCTTTTGGACAAAAATAATAAATGCACATTTTTTTGCAGGTAAAAAAATTAGCATTTATTATTTTTGTCCAAAGGAGCCTGGAAAGCATTGCATCAGTCAGAATATTTGCTTGCCGTATGGGATGTATGAGCAAGCAGATATACTGGCAGGAAGCTTCAATGAACTAGCACGGCGCTTCACAGTGCCATTGCATTTCACTGAAAACTACAAGCCCACAGCCGCTAAGGCTGTCTGGACTTGTAGGCACGCAATCACAGAACACTGTGAATTAGTGACGTGGCCATGTGGGCAAAGCCCCATACGGCCATGCTGTTTTCAAATCTGACAGATAGAACGGGGAAACTTCTCCCCATACTATATGTCAGAGGGAGGGGGGAGCGGCGGGCACGGCTGCAGCTTTGGGAACATGTCACATGTTCCACCCTAAAAACAGGTGGAACATGTTACATGTTTCAATGGTGAACTTATCCTGTAATTTGAGCATACAAAACCATTCTTTGAAAATCTTTTTAAGGCATCATGAGTAGAGATAAATAACTAAAAAAATAATCTGCTTTGACAGCATTTCGACTGAGTGGATGCGGTTTTTCACTCTATTGGGAAAAGGGCAGTGTTAGTGAACTGGTAAAAGATGGGTCAAAGAAATGTTTACCAATGTATTATTTACTCTGTAGAGTGCGCAGCTCTCCCTAAAAGATGGAGCCAGGGCTTCTTCTGACCCCCTTGGTGGACTTCTGTCCACTTGGCAGGATTCAAAAGGGATTTGATCTGCCATTCATTTACGAGAGCATCTAATAAAGAAGTATTCTACTTCCTTATTGGGCCATTTACTTAATGGGGGTGAGGATTCTTTCCTTGTAACCCAAGGGCCAATTCACACTGAGTTGCGCTAAAATGTATGGAAAATGAATGCACATTTCCATCCATTTTAGATGCGGGCTGACGTCTGTTGACATACATTTTAGCGCATGTTAACCCCTTCATGCCTAAGCGTAAAACAAATCTAAATGCCTAAGCACAATTTTGCACCGTTGACATGTGTTTGTAAAACCGTACATATCATCACAACTACTTTGTACATCCAGGTGAATTATACCGTGTTTTTTTCAGGATAAATTGGGCTTTCATTTGGTGGTAAATGGTAATAGATATATCTTGATTTTTTTTTTATTATCAAAGGAATACTGGCACAAAATAGTAAAAAAAAATATTTTTCTTATTTAGCTGTGTGTTTCTTGTTAATTCCATAACCTACCACCAAGGAACAACCCAAAATAAATTCTCCAGCTCTTGACGATCACAGCAATACCATACATGTGTATGTTATTTGTTGTTTGTACCCGTAGTACAGTCTAGAAACAATAGTGCACATTTTGTTTTTGTATTTTTTTTTACCTAAAACACACTGACATTGACACTGATACACTGATACCAAATTTTTTTTTTAAATCCTGACCTTGGACCCTGACCTTTGACCCTGACCTAGACCCAAACACTAACCCTGGCAGTGAACTAGATCAAACCTTGATCTAGGGATTTTTCTTTATTTTTTATTTTATTTTTTAATATGTATTTATCTTTTTTATTTATTTTTTTTTTTTACAAACATTTTTTTTCCCCTCTATGTCAGGAGTTAGAGAGATACAATGTATCTCTCTTCTCAATTCATAGAGAGAGAAAAAAAACAAGGGGCTGGGCTGTGCAGTGACTGCTCACTGTGATAGCCAATCAGAGGCTATCACAGCGATCATGTGACCTGGAATCAGGAGTCCCGGGTCCCAATCATTAGAATGGGACCCGGGGCTCTCAGTGACACCTGTGCAGCGTGCTGCCAGCACAAAGACAGGTAAGCAAATATGCGGCCCCACGGAAAAAAGCCCAGTTGTGTGAGGCCGCATATTTGTGTTACATCGGCGTCAAGGGGATACTGCATTTTCACAGGATATCCTGTGACATCCCATCCTGTGTGTGGAGAAGGAGTATGATGAGGGAAGATGTATATTGTACCTGGACAATTGTGTGGATTTGTGTTCTGTTTTTTGTGATCGGATGTCTTCCACAACAGCGCTAATGATTGTGATTGCGCTAGCTATACTGAGGAGAAGGAGACATATGAGGAGATTGCCTCAAACAAAAAGACGCTATTGGGTTCATTCATTGCTATGTGAAAGTAAAGGGCAGTCAGGGTAAAGTTTAAGGTTGGGTCATGGGTTCAAGTTTAGGGTGGTGGTCATTTATAGGGTCAGGGTAAAGGTTAAGTTTTGGTCAGGGTTTCAAAGGTCAGGTGAAGGATCAAAGGTAAGGTCTAGGGCCATGGAACAGGTCATGGGTAGGGTCAAGGTTAAGGTCATGGGTCAAGTCAGGGGTCTTAGGTTCGGTCAAAGGTCCTACAGCAAATCTTTTTTTAGCATTGCGTTGCTGTGACATCCGCTTATGTCCACTCACATGTTGCATTTCAGCGCAACGCAGGTCAACTTAGCATTATAGTGTGAATAGGATACAATGGAAATGATTGTTTTTCAGATGTCTTTCCAATGATCTGCGTTTTACAGCTACACTAAAACACAGATCAATGCACTGGTATGAATTGGCCCTGAAAATGGGATCCATATTAGAGGTCCTCTAAGGGAAGGGGAACGGCACAGGCGTTCGGTATTGAAGGTTACTCCACTGTGTTGCACAATAGTCAACTGCTGCCATTCACTTAAGTGAATTATATTTTCAAGTTAAGGGAATCGCCAACTCTTAGCTTGGAAGTTTTCATTCACTCTAAGGGGTTCACTGATCCCTAAACATGAGAAATTTCAGTCCTTACCAGGACAAGTGCATGTTGCTCACCTAGGATTGTCATCTATCTGATTGTCAAGGAATGTTACGCAGGAGTTGGTGCCCTCAATGAGCAAAAAATATAAGATATAACCACCTTAACAACTGGCTAAGTGTAAAACAAAATATTTGGACTGGCTCTTTACTCAGAGTTTACGGGCTCAGGGGATACTAGCATTAAGTACTGCTTACAACTCTTCTCGTGAAATACCAGAACAGGAGTGAACTCTTTATTTTCACCTATACTGCCTTTTTGAATTGTATTCATGTTTGAAGCTTAGTGCAATAAATCAGAACCCTCTTTTATGCTACCCATGTGTGCAGTGCCGCTCATCACATTTATTTTACTGTCTTTTTTCTCAATACTATTGTGCATGGATTGTGATTTATAGCTTAATTCCAGCAATATTTAATTTTACAACTGCTATTGCAGAATAGAAGCACGATTTGCTGTTGGTTTATTTTGGCTTGAGCTACATTAAAAGAGACATAAACTTCAGATACCTATACCATAGTACAACTCCAAATTATTATCAAATGAGCTATTTATAATACATTTTTATGTTAGGGTAAAGATACATTTAATACAGCAGCACAGTCACCATCACATTATCTCTGGGTTTTAATGGCATAATTACCTTCATAAATGCTCATAAATCTCTACACTTCTGTTGTGCTACTCTATTAATTTAGCTTAAATCCCTTGTATTTAAAGTGAGATCTATTCTGTTTTCTGATTCCACCTGGTAACTGACCCTGAAAAAGCATTTATACTGGAGGTTGATTTACTAAAGGCAATTAGACTGTGCACTTTGCAAGTACAGTTGCACTCATTCTCTGCAGAGCTTAGTGAATGTAGTGTCACTTTGTAAAGAATACCCAGTCAGGTGCAAGGACAATAAAAAATAACATTTTTGCTTGCACATGACTGTATGATGGAAATCGGCAAAGCTTCACCATACTCTCTAAGCTCTGGGGAAAAAAAACCTGACAGTGGTTCTAATTCATCTACACTCACATATAAAACTATAAGAAATTGCGGGTTAGATATACTTTAAAGCGGTTGTAAATCTCAGACATGAAATATGAACAAAGCATATCCCTCTATAATGTGTACTTGTCTCAATTAAAATCACTAAGTGCCATTTCTGTCTGCAGCTTTGTTCCTCTGCTATCAGCATGAATCACTTCTGGCAAGTTTTCCTGACACTAAGAGAAAAATGGTGACAGGGGAGGGAACTCCAGCTGAGTGACAGCCTCAGCTCTTTTCCTGTGTGCTGTGTGAAGGGGGTGTGTCCCTTTCCACCAATCAACTGTCAGAGCTCTCTTCACAGAACACTGTGGAGTGTAATTTCAACTCACTGCCCCCTTTTTTCTGAATGCTCAGAAAACTGTATACATTTTGGACTTTGAATGGATGTAGAGAAGAGAAGACTGCAGATAAACAGGCTTTGTTTCATCTCTGTGTACCACCTGAGGCCAGTCACTTCACTGGGTGTGTAAGGGTTTACAACCACTGAAAGTGAAGTCACACGCAAACAGCATAAATACAAATTTTATTTCTTCTCCTTCATTGGTCAATGATTCAACATTATCATCTATGTCCAGTAGGTAGAGAATTGACCAGGGAATCTGAAAGGCTGAACCAGGAACATTAGGGCCTCATGTACACAGGAAGTTTTGTTAACTCTCCAGAAGCCTTTTCTCCTGGCACCAGCGTTTTGGAAAAAAAACCCCCAAAAAACTGCTGACCCCTGTAAAAGTGTGTAATGCATTTAGCCGTGTCAAGCATTTGGGCGTTAATTCATTTCATTGGCCAGAATAGATAATTTATTCTGGCCAATAAAATGAATTAATACTCAAGCACTGAATGCACCTTAACGTTTAGCATTTAGAAGCGTCAAGATTTTTTTTTACCAAAACTCTGCTGCTCCTGGATGTACTGGCAGCATTTTTGTTTCTTGCTTTCTCTAAACTCTCCTACCACGAAACACCTCTAAATTTTTATGTGTTGCATGAACACATAGGTTAACATGCAAGGGAATTTGAAGGCAGGAAAAAAAATGCCACATGCCCCTATGAGCAGCTGTAAAAAACGTCCAGTGTACATGAAGCCTAAGGGTTTGTGTCGGGCTAATGCAGCTTGCTTTCAGATGCATTTAGCTTGCATTTGAGATCTCTTTGTAATGCTTCTGAGTTTATTCAGAGTTTATTGACAGGCACATTTGACCTCTTGCTTACTGCATCAACCTGCTTCAAGATCCCTATGCATCCCCATTAATTTATATGGGGGAAAAGAACTTCCATGAGCAAAAAAGTTAGTTAACCCAGACCTTTAAGATACATTAAATTGTTAAAAGTATTGGGATACCCCTCCAAATCATTGGATTCAGGTGTTCCAATCACCTCCATGACCTCAGGTGTATAAAATCAAGCACCTAGGCATGCAGACTGCTTCTACAAACATTTGTGAAAGAATGGGTCGCTCTCAGGAGCTCAGTGAATTCAAGCGTGGTACAGTGATAGGTTGCCACCTGTGCAATAAGTCAATCAGTGAAATTTCCTTGCTACTAAATATTCCATGCTCAACTGTTAGTGGCATTATAACAAAGTGGAAGTAACTGGGAATAACAGCAACTCAGCCACGAAGTGGTAGGACATGTAAAATGACACAGTGGGGTCAGCGCATGCTGAAGCACACAGCACGCAGAAGTCCCTAACTGTCTGCAGAGTCAATAGCTAAAGATCTCCAAACTTCATGTGGCCATCAGATTAGCACAATAGTGTATATAGAGCTTCATGAAATGAGTTTCCATGCTCGAGCAGCTGCATACAAGCCTTACATCACCAAGTGCAATGCAAAGTGTCGGGTGTATTGGTGTAAAGCACACCATCACTGGACTCTAGAGCAGTGGAGACGTGTTCTCTGGAGTGAGGAATCATGCTTCTCTTTCTGGCAATCTGATGGACATGCCTGGGTTTGGCAGATGCCTGGAGAACGGTACTTGCCTGATTGCATTGTGCCAAGTGTAAAGTTTGGTGGAGGGGGATTATGGTGTGGGGTTGTTTTTGGCCCCTTAGGAGCAGTGAAGTGAACTCTTAAGTCGTCAGCATACCAAGACATTTAAGACAATTTCCTGCTCTAACTTTGTGGGATGGTCCCTTCCCGTTCCAACATGACTGTGCACCAGTGCACAAAGCAAAGTCCATAAAGACATGGATGAGCAAGTTTGGGGTGGAGGAACTTGACTGGCCTGCACAAAGTCCTGACCTCAACCCGATAGACCACCTTTAAGATGAATTAGAGACTATAAGCCATGCTTTTTCATCTGACATCAGTGCCTGACCTCACAAAGGGGCTTCTAGAAGAATGATCAAACATTCCCATAGACACACTCCTAAACCTTGTGGACAGCCTTCCCAAAAGAGTTGAAGCTGTTATAGCTGCAAAGGGTGGTCCAACTCAATAGTGAACCCTACAGACTAAGACTGGGATGCCATTAAAGTTCATGTGCGTGCAAAGGCAGGCATCCCAATACTTTTGGCAATATAGTGTATATCCAAAGGCTCCAGGGTTAAAGTTCAACAGGTCCAAAATACAGTTACCATGAGGTGCACAAGCCTCATAAAGAGTAAAGAAGACTTAGTTTACCTCGCCTGAGGATGTTCTTTTTCATTTATGCCTCTCATGTTCCCCCTCCCAGTAATTGGAGCTCACAGTGAGATGTGTTCTGGGTTTGGTCTGAATCCTGATTCGGACTTAATTTTGCTTGAGGTTCAAAAATGTTACATTTACTGGTTTAAATCGAACCTTCCAGATGTTTTGTCAGGAATTGCTCAGCCAAATGCCCCACTATGCATTTGCTAAACACCATCATTGGCAGTAGTCTTGCATCAGGTCAGGTTAAAAAAAATATTGTGAAGAATGAATTGCTATCCATGGACTAGTAGATAGGTACTTACAGTATCAGATATCAGAGGAATCAACATCCTTTGTTTCTCTAAATCTTGCAGTTAACTACAGAAAAAAAAAAAAAAAAACAAACATCCATACTCAGATTGGTACAACTGCTTACAGTATCTGTGCTGTAGATATCTAGTATTGACCAGTTGCCGACCGCCGCATGTACATACAGCATACTGCGGAAAGTTGGCCTTTCTGCGGCAGATCATGAATATGTGATATCTGTGTAGGGGGCGCGTGCACACCCACCACCCCATCTGTGCTGTCATTCACTAGAGCACAAGTCAGGCTGCACATCCGGGCCAATGATTTATGGCCGGGGCCTGCTGATTGGCTTAGCGAATGACAGTACAGAGCCCTGTGTCTACTAAGAACACAGGGCTCTGTATAAAGCGTGCCTATGCAAAACAGGGAGAAAAAACAAACATGTTACAAGTACATATTACACATTGTTAGGCACACAGTTAACCCTTTGATGTTAACCCTTTCCCAGCCAGTATCATTAATACAGTGACAGAGTATAGTATTAGCATTGATCACTGTATTAGTGTCACTGGTGATGTCAGTGTCAGTTAGTCAGTTCCCACCCAGCACCAGTTAGTGGCAGATTGCCTGCTGCACTATGAAAGTCCCCCTATAAGTAGTTGATCACTGCCATTACTAGTATAAAAAGTAAATACATAAAAATCTCAGTATATACAGTATATCATTGTTTGTAAATGCTATAAGTTTCAAACAAACCAATCAAGAAACACTTATTGGGATTTTTTTTTTTACCAAAGACATGTAGCAGAATACATTTTGGCCTAAGTTTATGAAGAAACTGTATTTTTTCTTTTTTTTTTTTTTTCTTATTTGATGTTTTAAAGCAGGACATTTCCCACATTTTCGGTCTTTTTTTCATTTATATAATAAAATATATAAACCCAGTGGTGACCAAATACGACCAAAGCTCTATTTGTCTGAAAAAAATTCTTTCAATTTCATTTGGATACAGTGTTACATGACCACACAACTAAACTAGAGCAAAAAAAAAACTAGCTAGTTAAACTAGAGCAAAAATGTCATGGGTATTAAGGGGGTAAAACCTTCCTGAGCTTAAGTGGTTAACATAAACAGTATATAGTAGCTTAAGTGTTTTATGAATGTGTATTATAAACATAAAATTAACAAGTATGCCAATTGGCTCATTAAAATACGACTATTTCATGAATAAATTCACATGCTTAGTTTGATCAACATCCAAACAATAAAGTGCAATCCATCCTCTAAAAAGATACATACAGTATGAAGCAATACTACCACAAATAAAAGTAGCTACTCATTAAAACGAGAAAAAACTATATAAAGTTTATCTCACATTTTTAATCCTTTGATGTTTGATTCACGAGGTTCATAAAACCTTATTGTGAAGCACTGTAGTGGTGTAAGAGTCAAACTAGGTAAAAGTTGTTCAATCTGTAAGCCTTTATGTATGGGTTATGGCTGAGAAACAAAAGAGAAAGACATATTAAAGGATTCAGTCAGGATTGCAGTTAACCTCCCTGGAGGTATTCCCGAGTGTAGCTCGGGGTAAAGTTTGAGCACCACAAGCGGTAACCCCTGAGCTACACTCGGGAATACCCTGCAGCGCTGCTCCGGGATCTCTTCTTCACTTACCTTGTCCTGCGCTCCCATGATGTCCCTCCTGCAGTGTCCTCGATGCCGGCATCTGTCTTCCGGGTTCCATTCCCTGCGACGTCAGGACGTACGGGGACAGAACTGACGGGAAATTTAAAAATGTGAAAAAGTGACATTCACTAAATACACTAAAATAACATAGTAAAACATTACTGTATCAAACCATTTCACATACATTTTGTCCCGAGTGCTTTGTCCTGTGCCCTGCCTGCATTTTTACTGTTCTTTCTGCCTGGAAGCTGAGAAATGTCCATGGCATCCAAAAAGCTTCCCTTTAGGTCAAAAGCGGGTTTAGACCAGCTAGAGAACAGCGATAGTAAATTAGAACTACTTGCAGAATTGAGTGATAATGATTTGTGGGGAAATTCGTCATCAGACACTGAAAACGATTTTGTGACTTTGCTCAGTGATGTTCAAACTTGGCGCTATATTTCAAATTTCAGTGTTTTTGGTTTGATTATATTATTTAATTAAATTTATTATTATTATTATATTATTATTTTTTTATGATTATTTATTAAATTATAATTTATGATTTCGTGTTTAGAATTTTAACATACCCGGGATGTTTACTAGACTCTTGTTCGGACAGATTTCAGTGAGTTATTCCTAAAAATTACAGGCCTACAATAAAATAATACATATTTCCATGCAAAAAAAAATGTACTGCTTGGAGCATAGAAATACTGACATAATCAGACCGCTAGGGAGGCTACAGATTCTAAGATGTATACTTGTTTACCTATTCAGTTTTTATGATTCAGGAATTGCTGCAGAGTTCCAGTTCACCCCATTCCCTCATGTTAGTAATGTCAGCGATGTGAGAAGCCCTGCTTGTGAGGAGGAGAGCTATTCCCAAACACACCCACTTTGAGCTGCTTCTATGTTGATTTTGCAATTACATTGCCTTGTATAAAGAGGAAAAGCAGCTCGGACACAAACAAATTAACATCATCTTCAAAGCAACATCCATCACACATCTTTAGAGAGGCATGTACATGGACATCCAACTCAGAAGCAAGTAAAATACAGTATGCTTTCTGATTTTCCTTGCAGTTGCTCAAGGAAGAACCTTGACCTGCTTGTTTGATGCCTCAAATTACTATCAGTTGTTTTTTACATTTATGCCAACTTGTGTTGGAAGAAAATCAGTCTGTGTCCATGATCTCTAGCAGGGCCTTATGTAGGAAAAGCAGTCTAAGAAAACTCATGCTAAGAAAACAAGGATTCTGATTTTCATATGTATGTCATAAAATATCTTCAGAACAAATCTATGCTTTAGAGATATTTTAAATCATGCAGTACCATGAGATTAACTGCTTGAATATTGGCAACTACTTCATATGCAATTCATTGATTTCAAAAGTTTGGAGTTTAACCACTTGCCCTCCAGAGGATTTACCCCGCTTCCTGACCAGGCCATTTTTTGCGATACGGCACTGCGTTACTTTAACTGACAATTGACAAAAAGTTTATACTTACTCCAAAGCTTTGCAAAGTTCCTCTTCTTGGGTACCCCGTCTGTGCTTCTGGCTACTCCACTCCAGTGAGTGCCCCCATAGAAAGTCACCTTTTATAGGGGCACTCATGCAGACTTGATCCTGAGCCTCACTGTCTGTGTTTATTGACCCCGCCCCATGCTCCCACATCACTGGCTTTGATTGATGGCTTAAATTGCCTCAGCAAAGCCAGTGGTACTAGGAAGTGAGGGGGTAGAAAAGCTGCAGATGGGCACAGCCTACATTCAAATGAGTGCTCAGGTAATTACAAGGGGGGTGAGGACAGGATACCTAAACATTTTTACCTTAATGCAAGGAATGGCATTCAGTACATCCGGAATTGCTGGATGCTAAGGACTCTAGCAGCAGCCCTAGTTCTTAGGGTGAAGATTCAATTTAACGAAGGTGTTTCTAGTAGAAATAATACATGTATTTTCTATAGTTCTAAAGCCAGCCATAGACGGTTTGAATCTTGGGCTGATCGATCAACTTGGGTACAACCAACCTGTCGGATTTTATTTGCAACTATTGGTAGTGGCTATAGCCGCTAGCAGTAATCACTCTCCATGGTTACAGGAAGGAAAATCGCACCATCTATGGCCTAAAACATTTTATGAATTATGACAGCGTTTTTTAAAATTAAACATTTAGGCATTTTTATATATGTTTTCAGTTATAATTTTTGCTTTATGAATAACTATGTCATAAATGATAAAGGCGTTTAACTCACTGTTTTACTTGTGTATTCCTTTGCAGCTCATTTCCATAAATTGCACCCCTCAATGGGGGTTGAACCAAGAACGGAATAGGGGGAAGAGCTGATAGAGAATGTAGCCTGCCAACATGCATGGTGAGTGTTATATATTATATATAGAGGCTTTTTTTGAAAATACAATACACCTTTAAGCACATTTTAGGTCACAAACAGTGTAAATACAGTGTATATTTCACCAATATAAGCACTTTTTGCACATTTGTTTTGTAGTGAAATGTAAATCTTGTAGGTTAGATGAAGTATTTCTTACTAGCTTAAATAGCTGGAAATGTACTATGACTGTGACTGATAACGTACAGGTGATGGCTGCATTCATTTTCTTTTTTAGGCTTTTTTCATCTGGTGATACAGCAAGCAAGTTGTTGTTTTTCAAAAGCTCAAGCTCTCCAGAAGAATGTATCAGTTTACATGGATGTGACAAACCATTTATCACTGGCAGAAGTGGTTAAAATTATCAGTTTTTATTTATTCAGGGAAAAACTTTGTCCCGAAAGGAAAACTCTTTGCTGTAACTGGTTATAAAGTTTGATCTGGAGTTTGGCTTCAATTTGTTAGTGTATTTAAATCTGCTAATACATTTAACACTCCCCTGCCCCCCCCAGACAACACTGCGGTCTGCTGTGTCCCCTGTACTCATTCATACTCTACTATGTGAAGTGTCTAACTGGCCAGATCACCAGTTGAAAACGGAAAGGAAAATGTCCAAGAAAAGAAAACTGATGCAGCCACCACATCTAGTGATTAGTAAGCTGCAATATATTACATTTTTGGTTTTGGGTTTAATACCACTATAACAAGCAAACAAACCTTGCAGTGCAGATGAAACCCCACTACTAGGGACAATTCTCAACTTTCCCAGAGTTGGGCTTTTAATCTGTTACATAACTTTTTGTTAATTGGAAATGCAGTATTTACTGTGCACTGAAAACAGTGCTATAAAAATCACTGATGTGTATACAGTATGTGCCAAGGGAATTATGTTTCCTTAAACTAAGAAAGTGTGGACATTTGAAAGATCTTGAAGCATAAAAACTACAGAAGAATAAAATGCATATTAGTAGATAATTACAATTATCATGTGCATTTCTTTAGGGAAAATATGTCTAAAAACTTTCAGGAATATTAGTATATTATTTTTTTATTATTATTATATTATTATACAGTATTTATAAAGTGCCAATAGTTTGCTCAGCGCTGTACATTACAAAGGGGGACAGAACATGTGACAGAACAATACCAATACAATGCAAAACATGAGGGGATTGAGGGCCCTGCTCTTTCGAGCTTACAATCTATTATAAGTACTTATATAGCACCATCAATTTACACAGCGCTTTACACATATATATTGTACATTCACATCAGTCCCTAACCCTCAAGGGGCGTGCAATCTAAGGACCCTAACCTACATTCACATACTAGGGCCAAATTAGAAAGGATCCAATTAAAATACCAGCATGTCTTTGGAGTGTGGGAGGAAACCCACGCAGGCACAGGGAAAGCATGCAAGCTCCAGCTGCTGTGGTTGGGATTTGAGCCAATGACCCTAGTGCTGCCAGGCAGAAGTGCTAACCATTTATCCACTGTACTGCCCTGCAGTTACACATACTAGGGCCAAGTTAGACAGGATCCAGTTAACCTACCAGCATGTCTTTGGAGTGTGGGAGGAAACCCGGAATACCCGGAGGAAACCCACACAGGCACAGGGAGAACATGCAAGCTCCAGGCAGGTGGTTCCATGGTTGTATAGACATCTATCATAAATATTTGTTATTATTAGGGTTTTTAAATTTAAAATTTAGCCTTGGCTGATATATGTAATATATACTATTCAAGTTGTTCTGCAATGAAACGGGAAATGTCTATCACCAGGGGCAGACTGACCATCTGGAAACTTGGGTACTGCCCGAGGGCCCGGGGTCAGTAGGGGGCCCCATGAGATGACCCTGGTACCTTTTTCATAGGCTTTTTTGAGTTTGGGCAAGGACACAGGGGCCCCCATGATCCCTTATTGCCCGGGGGCCCCATGAGTTGTCATCCGCCCCTGTCTATCACATCAAGTATAAGTCTCATGAGATTTCTGGCTGACATTGATCCAGAGAACAGAAACCAAACTACTGTAAAACATATCTTAATTATCCATTTTACACAACACGCAAATAGATTCCTTCCTTACTGTAATCCTGAATCCAATAATTACAAAAGGACTTCTTCCTGGATTAGTTTAATTCTTTATTTACTTTAATTATCTGGCTTAACCATATCTTCCTGTGCCTTGATGAAGATGAATATTCCATTACTGACTTTTCAAATAAAATCTTTTATGCATTGCACATAGGAAAAGTAGCTGATGGTTTGTGCTCCGGGTCTGGAATTCTATTCATCCATCTGCTTTGTTGTATTTGCTAAATGTTTACATTTACAAATGTTCTAAATTTTGTTTCACCACTAATAGAAATTTCTGTCTGCCTTGATATGAAAAGTTTAACAGTAGAACATGTTCTTTTAGAAAACGCTATGATAATGATATACTAAAATTCTCAGAAATCACCAGCATGTCATATAAAAGCTACTTATATCTGTAATGATCTGTTATGCTATATAGCTGAGACTATTTTTGGTATGTTCTTTCATCACAAAACATTCTTTCTTAAAAACCTAATTGCCATTGGGGAGATCTTCCTTTTCTTCTGGCCCTGTGATACCCATACAAGATGCAGTTTTCTGTGGGATAAGAAGGCAAACACAACAATAAAATTTTGGTTAGAGGTTGTTCCTCACACTGACCAAACATTTTTTATCTGGTATCTGTTATCTGGTATCTGCTTTGTTCAGATGCTGAGAGTGAATTAAACTAGGTACACAATGTAAGTTTTTTTTTTTTTTTTTTTTTTAATTATTGT